TCTTTTTGACTGTGTCCTTTGCCTTACAGAAGCTTTTCAGTTTCAGAAGGTCCCATTTGTTAATTGTCGATCTCAGTGCCTGTGCCACTGGTGTTATGTTTAGGAAGTGGTCTCCTGTACCAACTCGTTGAAGAGTATCTCCCACTTTCTCTTCTAAAAGTTTCAGTGTGGCTGGATGTATGTTGAGATCTTTGATCCATTTGGACTTAAGTTTTGTACAAGGCGATAAACATGGATCTATCTGCAGTCTTCTGCATACCAGTACCCAGTTATGCCAGCACCATTTGTTGAAGATGCTTTCTTTTTTCCACTGTACAGTTTTAGCTTCTTTGTCAAAAATCAGGTGTTCATAGGTGTGTGGGTTAAAATTAGGGCTTTCGATTCGGTTCCATTGGTCTACCTGCCTATTTTTGTGCCAATACCAAGCTGTTTTCAGGACTATAGCTCTATAATAGAGCTTGAGGTCAGGTATGGTGATGCCTCCTGAAGTTCCTTTATTGTATAGGGATGTTTTGGCTATCCTGGGCCTTTTGTTTTTCCATATAAAGTTGATTAATGTTCTTTCCAGGTCCTTGAAGAATTGTGATGGAATTTTGATAGGGATTGCATTGAATCTATAGACTGCTTTTGGCAAGATTGCCATTTTTATTATGTTGATCCTACCAATCCAAGAGCATGGGAGATCTTTCCATTTTCTGGTATCTTCTTTGATTTCTTTCTTCAAAGACACAAAGTTCTTGATATACAGGTCTTTCACTTCCTTGGTTAACATTATCCCCAGATATTTGATGCTGTTTTTGGCTATTGTAAAGGGTGATGTTTCTCTGATTTCTTTCTCAGTCACTTCATCATCTGTATATAATAGAGCCACTGATTTTTTTGAGTTTACCTTGTATCCTGCCACATTGCTGAAGGTGTTTATCAGCTCTAGGAGTAACCTTGCGGAGTTTTTTGGGTCACTTATGTAAACTATCATATCATCTGCAAATAGTGAAAGTTTGACTTCTTCTTTTCCTATTTGTATCCCCTTTATCTCCTTTTGTTGTCTTATTGCTGTAGCTAGAACTTCAAGTACAATATTGAAGAGATATGGAGAGAGTGGACAGCCTTGTCTTGTTCCTGATTTTAGAGGAATTGCTTTGAGTTTCTCTCCATTTAGTTTGATGTTAGCTGTTGGTTTACTGTATATTTCTTTTATTGTATTCAGGTACATTCCTGTTATCCCTGATCTCTCTAGGGCCTTTATCATGAAGGGGTGCTGGATTTTGTCAAAGGCTTTTTCAGCATCTAGTGAGATGATCATGTGGTTTTTCTTTCACAGATTGTTAATATGGTGGATTACATTGATAGATTTTCTAATGTTGAACCATCCCTGCATTCCTGGTATGAAGCCTACTTGATCATGGTGGATGATTTTTCTGATGTGTTCTTGAATCCGGTTTGCAAGTATTTTATTGAGTATTTTTGCATCAATGTTCATGAGGGAAATTGGTCTATAGTTCTCTTTCTTAGTTGTGTCTTTGTGTGGCTTGGGTATCAAGGTAATTGTAGCCTCGTAGAAAGAGTTTGGCAGTGAGCCTCCTGTTTCTATTGTGTGGAATACTTTGACAAGTATTGGAATGAGCTCTTCTTTGAATTTCTGGTAGAATTCTGCACTGAAGCCATCTGGGCCTGGGCTTTTTTTGTTTGGGAGACTTTTGATGACTGCTTCTATTTCATTAGGGGTTATAGGTCTGTTTAGATTATTTATCTGTTCTTGATTTAGTTTTGGCAAGTGATATCTATCCAGGAAATTGTCCATTTCCTTTAAATTTTCAAATTTTGTGGAGTACAGATTTTCAAAGTATGCCCTGATGATTCTCTTGATTTCCTCAGAGTCCGTTGTTATGTCCCCTTTTTCATCCCTGATTTTGTTAATTAGCATGTTCTCTCTCTGTCTTTTGGTTAGTTTGGACAGAGGTTTGTCTATTTTGTTGATTTTCTCAAAGAACCAACTCTTTGTTTCATTGATTCTTCTCAGTGTTTTTCTGGTTTCTACTTGATTGATTTCAGCCCTCAATTTGATTATTTCCTGGCGTCTGCTCATCCTGGGGGAGTTTGCTTCTTTTTGTTCTAGAATATTCAGCTGTGCTATTAATTTTCTAGTATGACTGTTCTCCAGTTTTTTCATGTGGGCACTTAGTGCTATAAACTTTCCTCTCAGCACTGCTTTCGAAGTGTCCCATAAGTTTGTGTATGTTGTGTCTTCATTCTCATTGAAATCGAGGAAGTCTTTAATTTCTTTTTTTATTTGTTCCTTTACCCAGGGATGGTGCAATTGTGCATTGTTCAATCTCCATGAGTTTGTAGGGTTTCTGTGATTTGTGTTATTGTTGAATTCTAATGTTAATGCATGGTGGTCTGATAAGATGCAGGGGGTTATTCCAATTTTTTTGTATCTGTGGAGATTTGCTATGTTTCCTATTATGTGGTCAATTTTAGAGAAGGTTCCATGTGGTGCCGAGAAGAAGGTATATCCCTTTGTATTTGGGTGGAGTGTTCTATAGATGTCTGTTAAACCCAGTTGGGTCATAACTTCTATTAATTCTTTTGTTTCTTTGTTAAGTTTCTGTCTGGAGGTCCTGTCTAGCAGTGAGAGCGGAGTGTTGAAGTCTCCTACTATTAGTGTGTGAGATTTTATGTGCATTTTGAGCTTTAGTAATGTTTCTTTCACGAATGTAGGTGCCTTTGTATTTGGGGCGTAGATGTTTAAAATCGAGACTTCGTCTTGATGTATTTTTCCTTTGATGAATATGAAGTGCCCTTCTTCATCTCTTTTGATTGATTTTAATTTGAAGTCTAATTTGTTAGATATTAGGATTGCTACGCCCGCTTGTTTCTTGGGGCCGTTTGATTGGAAGATCTTTTCCCAGCCCTTTACTCTGAGATAACGTCTGTCTTTGGTGTTGAGATGTGTTTCTTGTATGCAGCAGAAGGAAGGGTTCTGTCTTCGTATCCATTCTGCTAGTCTGTGTCTTTTTATAGGCAAGTTGAGGCCGTTGACATTGAGGGATATTAATGACCATTGATTGGTGATCCTTGTTTGCACTTGGTTTATTGTTAGTGAAGTTATTTTGTGTAGTTTCTCCTCCCTTTTTCTTTTGGTGTTTTGTAAAGTATGATTATATATTGCCTGTGTGTTTGTGAATGTAGTTATCTTCCTTGGCTCTAGGTTTTCCTTCTAGCATTTTCTGTAGAACTGGATTCATGGATACGTATTGATTAAATCTGGCTTTGTCATGGAATATTTTGTTTTCTCCATCTATGGTAATTGAGAGCTTTGCTGGATATAGTAGTCTGGGCTGGCATCCTTGTTCCCTAAGCGTTTGTAGGACATCTGACCAGGATCTTCTGGCTTTCATCGTTTCCATTGAGAAGTCAGGTGTAATTCGGATAGGTCTGCCTTTGTATGTTACTTGGCCTTTTTCTTTAGCTGCTCTTAATATTTTCTCTTTACTCTGTAGGTTTGATGTTTTGATTATTATATGGCGAGGTGACTTCTTTTTCTGGTCAAGCCTATTTGGTGTTCTGTAAGATTCTTGTACTTTCATAGGCATATCTTTCTTTAGGTTAGGGAAGTTTTCTTCTATGATTTTGTTGAATATGTTTTCTGTACCGTTAAGTTGAAGTTCTTCACCTTCTTCTATACCTATTATTCTCAGGTTTGGCTTCTTCACGGTGTCCCATATTTCCTGGATATTTTGTGTTAAGGATTTGTTGGTTTTGAGATTTTCTTTGGTTGACGACTCTATATCCTCTAATGAGTCTTCAACACCTGAGATCTCTCTTCTATCTCTTGTATTCTATTGGTGATACTTGCATCTGTAGTTCCAGACCGTTTACCGAGCTTTTCTATTTCCAGCATCCCTTCATTCTGTGTTTTCTTTATCGTTTCTATTTCAGCTTTCAATCCTTCAACTGTTTGAGCTGTTTCCTTCATTTTCTTGGTTGTTTTTTCTTGGTGCTCTTTAGATTCTTTGAGAGATTTGTTTATTTCTTGAATTTTCCCCCATTTCATGGATTTTTTTGTTTGTTTTTTCTTCTATTTCTTTAAGGGATTTCCTCGTTTCTTCTTTGAGGGTCTCCATCATCTTCATGAAATAATTTTTAAGGTCTGTCTCCTCTTCTTCACCTATGTAGTGCTTTTCAGGTCTTGCTGGTGTTGGATCCCTGGATTCTGGTGGGGTCATGTTGGTGTTTCTATTGCTGGGTGATCTCTTATTCTGTCTTCTTCCCATCTCTTCTTCCAGTGGGTGCTGGTGTGGTCTTTCCGTCTCCACTGGTCTCCTTCCTTACTGCAGCTGAAGCTGGGGATGCTGAAGCTGGACTCTCTGGGGTTGGGGTCTTGGAGGGGCTGATCTCTTTCCTGAAGCTGGACTCCCTGGGGTTGGGGTCTTGGAGGGGCTGATGTCTTTCCTGTGTGGGCGGCTCTTCTGGAAGCCGGGAGCAGCCCCGAAGATGGAGGGGGATGGGTGATGGGCGGGCAGTCCCCGCTGGAGACCCAATCTCACCTGAAGCTGGGCTCCCTGGGGATTGGGTCTTGGAGGGGCTGATCTCTTTCCTGTGTGGGCGGGTCTTCTGGATGCTGGGAGCAGCCCAGAAGATCGCGGGGGATGGGTGATGGGCGGGCGGTCCTCCCCGCCTGAGACCCAATCCCACCTGAAGCTGGACTCCCTGGGGTTGGGGTCTTGGAGGGGCTGATGTCTTTCCTGTGTGGGCGGCTCTTCTGGAAGCCGGGAGAGGCCCGAAGATGGAGGGGGATGGGGGATGGGCGGGCGGTCCCCGCTGGAGACCCAATCTCACCTGAAGCTGGGCTCGCTGGGTTGGGGTCTTGGAGGGGCTGATGTCTTTCCTGTGTGGGCGGCTCTTCTGGAAGCCGGGAGTGGCCCCGAAGATGGAGGGGGATGGGTGATGGGCGGGCGGTCCCCGCTGGAGACCCAATCTCACCTGAAGCTGGGCTCCCTGGGGTTGGGGTCTTGGAGGGGCTGATGTCTTTCCTGTGTGGGCGGCTCTTCTGGAAGCTGGCCACTGATGGCATTTTAACTCCACCCAGCTGAGAAGGAGGATAGTCAAACACCCTACAATCAAGACAGTACCTGGGAAAGGACAGAAGGACAAAGGACTAGTAAGAACACTGTATCATTTCCAGGAAAACCTAAGCAGAAAGTTGTCTATCGCCACATCTAATTATACAGAACGCCAAGGAACAGAGTCCTGCCTTGTTTTCCTATTGACTTGTGATGAGAAGGAAGCTAATGGCATGTACCAATCAGTGGGAAGAAACCAGATTTCCTCACTGCTGCTTGTTTTGAGACCTGTTGTGTGGATTTGCCTGGAAGAACATGTCTCAAAGATAAATTATATCTTTGAAGTATCACTCAAATCCTACCTCTCATGGATATTTTTATTTTTCCCAGGGATTCCCCCACAGAGCTAGAGATGTCTAATCCGTGTTCTTCAGCCACACCCTACAACCTCTATTTTTCCTCATGTATCACTTAGATAGAGAAGCTTCTAGAACACAAATTCTAACAGGTTTCTCTTCTCGGAAGCTTCTCCGACTAGATCGGAATGTTGCAATGCCATTTGTGATCTGCTTCCCATTGATTCTCCTCCCTAAACGCTGCTCTGCTCCCACTAGGGCAACATGACATTTCCTGAGAAGAATGGCTTTTGCAAGGTACCATCTCTGTAGAAGCTTCCCCGTGTTTCCATCACTTTCTTTTCACCCCTCAAGCCTTCCCTCAGGACTCTTTGTGACTTCTAAGAGTGATGCTTCTCTCTCATCTTCCCTTGTCCTTCATCAGCACACACATCACTATGTGTTAGTTGTAATCATTTGTCTGGGTTCCCTGCTTTTGCCCTTAGCCCATTGGACTTGATAATATTAAAGTGCAGCATAATGTTGGCATACAATATATGTTTGGTATAATTTTGTTAAACAAGTGAATTTGAAACTATTTGGTCTTCTAGATAAGATGTGTTCATCACTTAGGGGGTTGAACATCTGTACATTTCTAGTAATTGCTATATATTTACTGCCTAATAGTTGAGAATAAATACACATTATATCTTTTCTCTAAACAGCATCGCTAAATCAGGTCAGTTTAATGCAATCTATAAATGACAAATTTGCAAAAGGCCTTTCTCTATAAACCTAATTTGAGACAACACTGGCATAAACTTAATGAAGTTTGAGAATAGAAAAAAAAACTTCAAAGTGGCCTGCTTTCCCCATAGGGGAAGTTATTGAATTGCATGTGATGAGCTCTGTTTTCTTTTAAGTGATGAATTTGACCATCTTAGCATTTATGAGGGAAGAAAACTGGGAAAGATACAATGGAAATGAAAAAAGATGAATAAAACTATTGAATAATTAGACTGGCTATGGTAAGGCCAACCCACTGTTACTTGAAAAAAAGAATGCTATCTCAGTAATTCTTAAAGAAGGACCTTAGAGGGATCGAAATGATGTAGCTGAACTATAGGAAATACAAAATAACACAAGAACATATAAGGTTTCATTCATTTATGCTTTCAAAAATGTTAGGAAGTCATGTTCTCTATTATAGCCACCTTGAAAAATTCAACACTATGTTCTATTTTATTAAGGATATCATACTGCATAAAAAAAGATGTCTATATGGGGGGGTCCAATAAGAATGGGAGAAATAGTCTCCCACAGAGATGTGCCCTTAATTTGTTATCTAGTAACAAGTGGTCAACCCTGACTAAATGATATATACACAGTAACCCTAAGCAAACTGAGCAGGTTGTTGTTTACATATCTAGTCATATATATGTAAAGAAATGGAACAAGTGAGGTGAAGGTACATCAGAGTGATTGAAGGGAGGAAAGAAAAGTGGGACATATAATTATATTTTAATTTTAAAATATTAATAAACCAAATTGCAACACATATATGAGCTTTGTCCTGTCTTTTAAGGAAACAATTTAAAGTTCCATGGAGAAACTTCTAAGAGTAGAATGTAATTTTGTTACTGAAAAATTGTCTCTAGGCATTTTGTATATTGTTCCTATATATTCTAGGAAGGAAAAACTCATTTTGAAGATAAATTCCACAATGAATGGCAGATGCTTTAGTGGCTTATGGTGACACTGGATTCTCAGATTAATACTATCAGCTTCTTCAGAATTCACGTGAGTATGCCAGTGTGGTTAGACACAATCCTTTCCTTTTATATTGCAATCTATGTCTTCAGCACACATTTCATCTTTGTTATTTATCACTTTATAGACAAAGAAATGGTAATGCTAAATAGCAAGCATTCCATGAAATTCCACTCTTGCTACAAGGGAGAAGAAAACTATGCTAGGACTGACCCATCTGTGAGTATCACACAGGGCCTTCATCTGCAAGCATGATTTATAGGGTATCCCTTCTTTGGGGATGTTCTATCTATGAGCACAATGCATACATAATGCCTCACTTCTTGGGGATATTTCCCTTAGTCTAACAATGTGATGCTTCTCTTCATCTTCTGGATGAAATGTAGTTTCTGCACCCTCAAAACAGTATCTCTATCAAACAACCAGCACTCTTTGTCCTCCCAAGAATATACAGCATTGCCTATCTGAGACAAATAGAGTAGGAAAGTGGAAATTTGCATTAAAAAAGTAGAAATACCACATGATAAGATTCCTGGCTACCTGGATGTTATCCTCCTGATGCAAATTCAGCTAAGGAAAGACAGAACACACAAAGAAGCATTTTAAGCCCAAGATTATACTAGAAAATTAACATATCAATTCCACCTGTCAAAATTCTAGAGTGTCCTCAAGGCTTCTCAACCTCAATACCATATCCCTTATTTAGAAAAGCCTTCTGAGTTCCCCAATTAAACATTGGGTTCCTTTATCTTGTGTAATCCTACAATGTTTCACCAGAGTTAAGTGAATCAGATATAGAGAGTTCTGGGGATATATTTCTGTTTAAGTTTTTCCTGGAGCATGGCCATTATGCCTGCAGCTGATCTTCCTGCACTGCAGGAATCCAGGTCTCCAAGGATACCAAGAATGCAGACAAAAGCAGTAACACAATGAGCAACAGTGTGGTCCCTGTGCACATTAGCAGTTTAGGGGTGGTATAGAAACCTTTAAAATCCTGTTCCATCATGGTTGCAGTATTGGCTGTCTTTGGGTGTCCCTGTGTTTTACACTCAAGGGCTAAGCCACCATTCAACACTCAGTAGTTGTTATCCAGGCTTACTACTCTAAAACTCTCACAACTCATGTTCAACACTCGAATCGTCAAAGGGAGATGGAGGACTGATTTCCTTATTCACATATTATTTGTCTCCTCTGCTCCTCAATGTAAGTGTACCAAAGTAGTCCCAAACATCTGATATCCATGCAGCTTCAGACATTACCCTACCTTCACATGTCCATGTGCCCTTAACATCTACTCCTGCTGCAGAACTATACTCTTACATTAAAATCTATTTCAAGATTTGGTTCCCTATCTCTTCCTCTAGCTCCCTGTTCATCCTTCTTCCAGAATATTCTGAAACACTTCAGTGGCAGATGTCCTTTCATGCAACAAGATCACTGCATCTGCATTTCAGTTAGTCACACTTTCAAGCCACTAAACGTCATCCAGAATGAAGCTAAGAATAGCAAAACACCCCTAAGAGTGTGTTCTTGCTAAAACTAAGTTTTCTAGCCATGGTCAGAGTGTTTGGAGAGAGGAAGACACAGTGCCTTAGACACAGAGAGGACCACTTAAGAGATGGAAATTCAGCTTCCTTCAAAGGTTTGGGTTGAGTAAATTAGCACATGAAAGGAGGTGACAGAAGTGACTTTGAGATGCAGGGAGAAGTCACTGCACTAGAGCCTAGAGCCTTGTTGGTAAGACTAGCATGTCTAAGAAGAACATGCCATCAGGGTAGATACCACATGGACAGTAGAGTGATGGGAACTAATAAAAACCACATGGACAGTAGAGTAGCAGAAATGTTTGCTTCCCCTGCGGTGGTGTTGAGCAGCAGCTTGCTATTCCTGCTTGATTTTACCTCTGATACTTGTATAGCTTCCTGTAGTGGTGAAAATTGAGGGTATCAGGGAACCTGAGTAGAGGCAATGTAGATGTGCAGCTGATATAGGTGAGATTTAAACATCTATGCCCCAAATACAAAGGCACCTACATTCGTGAAAGAAACATTACTAAAGCTCAAAATGCACATAAAATCTCACACACTATTAACAAATGGGACCTTCTGAAACTAAAAAGCTTCTGTAAGGCAAAGGACACAGTCAAAAAGACAAAAAGGCAGGCCACAGAATGGGAAAAGATATTCACTAACCCTACATCTGAACAGAGGGCTAATCTCCAAAATTTACAAAGAACTCAAGAAACAAGTCTCCAAAACACCAAAGGATCCAATTAAAAGGTGGGGTACAGAGCTAAATAGAGAATTCTCAGTAGAGGAGGCTAAAATGGCCAAGAGACACTTAAGAAAGTGCTCAACATCCTTAGCCATCAGGGAAATGCAAATCAAAACAACTCTGAGATATCATCTTACTCCTGTCAGAATGGCTAAAATCAAAAACACCAAAGACAATTTATGCTGGAGAGGAATGCTGGAATTAGAAAAGCTGGGCAAACAGTCAGGTACTACATATGCAAGCATAGCCAACAGAATACAAGAGATGGAAGAGAGAATCTCAGGTGTTGAAGATACACTAGGGGAAATAGATTCATCCACCAAAGAAAATCATAAGTCCAAAAAATCCCTAACACAAAATGTCCAGGAAATATGGGACACCGTGAAAAGACCAAACCTAAAAATAATAGGTATAGAAGAAAGTAAAGAAGCCTACCTCAAAAGGGCAGAAAACATATTCAACAAAATCAAAGAAGAAAACTTTCCCAACCTAGAGGAAGACTTGTCAATGAAGGTACAAGAATCATACAGAACAACAAATAGAGTAGACTACAAAAAATGTCCCCTTGCCACATAATAATCAAGACCACAAAAATACAGAATAAAGAAAGAATATTAAGAGCAGCTAAGGAAAAAGGGCAAGTAATATATCAAGGTAAACCTATCAGAATCACACATGACTTCTCCATGG